AGGTACTCGACTGGCCAGCGATACCTATACGACCTGTGGAGAAGCTGCCTCCGCCTTACACGCTACGGCGTGATTGCAGGTGCACCAGGCCAAGGCACTGAGGGACTTGCACGAGGGTGGTCACAACCCGGAAGTTCGTAGAGAACTCCGCACCGGTCTCTGGGTCGTGCGATGTCCACTATGGTGGTCCAGGAGCGCCATTTCTGGCTGTGACTGGCTGACATGTGCGAGACGGGCAAGACACGATTCTTGAATGTCCCCGTGTCCCAGGCCGGCCTTTTCGGCGACACTGAGACAGACGCCCGGGCCGGGTCCCTGCGTTCTTCCGCACTGCCCCACTGCGCGTACGCCTGTAGTTTCATTGATGCCACTTGCGCGGTGTCTGGGAGCCTGGCTTGAGCTACCAAGCCCGTCTAGATGGCTCCTTAGAACCGTCAGGCTCGGCTATGCGATTCAGTCGCCCGGCATCCCCGGGGCCACGTACAACGGGCTTGCAGTGTCAGGGGTTTGGACGGGGCCCCGACTGCACTGGCACATCAACTGCCTTGAGTTGCTGGCAGTGCACCTTGCCCTGGGCCGTCTCAAAGGGCGCTTATGAGGCAAGCATGTACTGGTCCGTACGGACAACACAGCGACCGTTGCGTACATCAACCGACAAGGTGGTCTGCGCTCCCGTCACATGTCACAACTCGCCCGCCACCTCCTCCTCTGGAGTCAGAAGCATCAGAGGTTGCTTCGTGCTGTTCACATTCCTAGGCTGCTCAACCGGGCAGCCAACGAGCTGTCTCGAGTTGCGCTCCCGGGAGAATGGCGACTCCATCCCCAGACGGTCCAGCTGGTTTGGGGACGTTTCGGAGCCGCTCAGGTAGACCTGTTTGCCTCTCCAGAAACCTCTCACTGCCAGTTGTTCTTCGCCCTGACCGACGGAACACTCGGCACGGACGCTCTGGCACACAGCTGGCCGCGGGGCCTTCGCAAGTATGCGTTTCTCCCAGTGAGCCTTCATGCACAGTTGCTGTGCAAGGTCAGGGAGGACGAGGAGCAGGTCCGGTTGATGGCACCCTATTGGCCTACCCGGACCTGGTTCCCGGGAACTAATGCTCCTCGCGACAGCCCTTCCTTGGACGATTCCTCTGAGGAGGGATCTACTGACTCAGAGACGGGGCACCCCTTGGCACCCACGTCCAGACCTCTGGAAACTTCATGTCTGGTCCCTGGACGGGATGCGGAGGTTCTAAGTGACCTACCTCAAGAGGTAGTTGACACCATCACTTCAGCGAGAGCACCGTCTACGAGACACGCCTACGCTTTGAAGTGGAACCTGTTCGTTGAGTGGTGTTCTTCTCACCGAGAAGACCCCCGAATATGCCCGATCAGAGTCGTGCTGTCCTTTTTGCAGCAAGGGTTGGAGCGAAGGCTGTCTCCCTCCACCCTCAAAGTTTATGTTGCTGCAGTCGGGGCTATGTAAAGTGTTACCAATATTAATATAAATTCTGTCCAATTTTATTGTGTTACAGTCAGTAACAATTTGTGGTTCTTTTATTGACTTTTGTTTTTAAATTCAGTGTCATTAAAATTATTGAGTTAAATTAAAAATTCTTACAAAATTACTTTCTAATTATTATTTCATTAAATAATATAAAGCATTTTCGGTTTTCGGCCAAGTGCATCCAGAATTTTCATTTCGGTGCATCCCTGATATTTATTTTACTCACCAAGTTATTTCTTGACTTTAGTATAATTTTGTCTACTAACGTGCCTGCCTTATTTAGTTATTTATTTTACAATTATTTAATGTATAATTACTGTAACTTTTATGTTTATTTCATATTTATTATGTTTGGTTACCTATTTTTATTATTTCTCTTTAGTTATCTTTTTATTTATAAGTATTTGTTATATTTTTTATGTATTATTATGTAATTTTATTTATTTATTTTTCTAGCTTACTGGCAAACATTTAATTCTGAACCTTTATTATAAGTATATTTTAATATAATTTATTTACATGTTATCATTAATGTATCGTTTATATATTTATTTATTTAATATGTAGTTCTGGACCCTAGCATCTATGTCTTTGTTACTCATATGCCCACCTTGTTTTGGCACCAGTGATGTCAACGACTGCCTTATTTATTCAAAGAAGTGTTTGGCCACTGTGTGTGTGTGTGTGTGTATAATTTACATTTTAAATATTTAAATATAAAAAAATATATTTTTATGCAAAATTTTTGCTATTATCCAAACCCACTCACTTTCTTAATGATGTTTGCTAAGCAGTAAAATTGATCTTATATTGAAATACAACAGGCTCTCATCTCTATTAACTAGCATTCATACATGCTTCATTTCTTTCTCCACATTTCCAAACCATTTTTAGCTTCACATTTTTCACATAGAAAAATTGGAAAGTTGTCCTTTTCATTGTGCTGCATGCCTACGGTGCCTTAAAATGCTGCATATGTAGGCAGCTCATTAGCTTTTGGAGCAGATCCAGACAGTCGACACATACAGGTGAAGCACAAAGACGCTGAACAATGTGAGATTCACAAGCAAGCAGGCTTTCTCTTACTGAGAGCCCCGTTTTACTGGGCTGCACTGAAGATGGGCGTCATGTCACCTTCACCCTCACAGATGGGTGGTTTGAAGTCGATAAAATGCGATCGTGCCACATTGCAGCGCTGCGTCCAGCAGCTTGTTTGCTCATGGCTCAGAGCTCCTTCGGCCCTGTCTGCTGTTGCTAACACCTGGTCCGGGCTGGCCCTCTCCACGGGTTGGCCTGTTTTGTGTTTCCTAGAGCCAGGCATTGGCCCACTACAAAGGCACCAAACACGCCAAGAAGCTGAAATCCTTGGACGCCCCGAAATGCCTCAAACACAAGAGTTCCCTGGTCACCAGGGAAAATACCAACAAGGAGCCGCCTAGAGGCCTCTCTCCCTCCATAGTGGCCAGCAACACTGACAGAAAAGGTAAGAGAAGAGACGTTATCTCATGCTTACAAGCATCACTGTTATTGCTGCTCATGCTTGCTTGAATAAACCCCCAACCCTAAGTGTTAGACTTTAGTGTACAACTTTTCTTTGACTGTCTTCAACAAACATGTTTGATACAGAGAGCAGAGTGTATTGTATAATTTCAAAAGGAATGTTTTTTTTGAGATTAGCAATCATAAAATAGCACAAAAAAAAATCATAGGTTTAAGATGTGGTCACATTTACTGTTGCTCAGCGAAACTTTGCAGGTGAAAGAAAACGGTTGCAACGATATTGCATGCAATCTCAGTCTTGTAATTATAGTGTATAACAAAACTAAAGATTTTTTTTCAAAGATTGACAGACAATAAAATGGCAAAAGGTATGGTCACATTTACTCTCGCTTAGTGAAACTTTGCAAGCGAAAGAAAGCTGTTCTTTTTGCAATCTCAGCAAAATATCCTGCTTCTTATTGGAGACAAAATGATTTATATAGTTAATAAAAATTACTGTAGACATAATGCATGTAAATAAAACTAAAATAAAAAAATGATTTTTTTTCAAAGAATGGTGGACAACAAAATTGCAAAAATGTGTGGTCACATGAAATTTCACAAGTGAAAGAATTCTGTTGCAGTGGTTGCAGTCATTTTGTATGTCTTCAGAGACAAAATGATGATTTATATAGTTAATAAAAAAATTATGCAAACACAATGCATGTAAACAAAACTAAGTAACATAAATAAATAAAGATGGGCAGACAATAAAATGGCAAAAAACAAAAAATCTATATTCATAGAAATAACGTGTGGTCATAATTACTGTTGCTCAGCTAAACTTTTTTTTTAAGTGAAAGAAAGCGCGACCGGATGGGATGAAATGAATGATAATAACAAATCAAACATCCAAAGCTAGTCTGCTGGATAGCAAACAAATCAACTCTAAATAAATGTTTTATTTAAAAATAATTGCAGAAAACAAAGCTGTATTTAAAGTAAACAAAACTCGATTATTTTTATTTTTATTGGTTATTGGTCATTCATTATTGGTGAACAATGAAATGGCAAAACATTTACTTACTCACCAATATTTTAATGATCATAAAAGATGAAAATCACTGTCTGGCCATCTGAGATTTTGGTATGGAGATAAGGGTTAAGATCATGATTTTTCTTTTTTCTTTAGTGGTACAGCACACCGTGAGTGTATATTAGCACCATTTGTTGTTTGTTTTAGCATCTGAACATTTGCATAAATTGTCACTGGAATTGTTGTATTTTTTCTCACAAAATTTCATAGAGAAACAGTAAATGTGACCACACTTTTACATTGATCCATATGTAAAGCCTAGCAGTCGGTTGCAGGATTAAAACCCTTACACTTGATAACTGAGGGGTTTGTTTACTGAAGGGGTTTCTTGTTACAAGACATATCATGAAGACTTAAGAAACCACCCAGAACACCCTAGCATCATCGGCAAGTTTTGCACGTGCAAAGAGCACTCCGAAAAATGCAAGAATCTGTGCGAGTTCTGCGATTTATTGCCGTTTTGTGCTACAGAAGAAGCATTCATCAGATGTCCCTGGACAAGAGTTGACCTCCTCTTCTATTTCTGTCACAAAAATCTCTCTCTGAACTGGAAACAATAAAAATGTTCCAAGAATCGGCTTAAAGGCCATAATTTGAGGCCTAGGCAGGCGTTTTGCAGTAATTGTGTTGCTGTTGCACCAGTACAGTACTTCATATTCATGTGCAGCAGTGGAAAATAGCACGATGCCCACTTCAGGTTCAGGTTCTGATCTTGATATTCTTCCGCAGTACAGTGAAGTTATATATCGCTCTGGTGGTTCAATATGACTCGTAGTGCTGTTTCAGATGGTCCAAAGCAAACAGCATCCTCCTGTGTGATGTGTTTGTTAGCGATCCAGGGGTTGGCTGTATTCTCTGCAGGATTACAGCTGGATCAGGTTGCTGGAGTCTCATGGCACAAAATTGTGTACGTAAGGGTGGTTTGAAGTCGATAAAATGCGATCGTGCCACATTGCAGCGCTGCGTCCAGCAGCTTGTTTGCTCATGGCTCAGAGCTCCTTCGGCCCTGTCTGCTGTTGCTAACACCTGGTCCGGGCTGGCCCTCTCCACGGGTTGGCCTGTTTTGTGTTTCCTAGAGCCAGGCATTGGCCCACTACAAAGGCACCAAACACGCCAAGAAGCTGAAATCCTTGGACGCCCCGAAATGCCTCAAACACAAGAGTTCCCTGGTCACCAGGGAAAATACCAACAAGGAGCCGCCTAGAGGCCTCTCTCCCTCCATAGTGGCCAGCAACACTGACAGAAAAGGTAAGAGAAGAGACGTTATCTCATGCTTACAAGCATCACTGTTATTGCTGCTCATGCTTGCTTGAATAAACCCCCAACCCTAAGTGTTAGACTTTAGTGTACAACTTTTCTTTGACTGTCTTCAACAAACATGTTTGATACAGAGAGCAGAGTGTATTGTATAATTTCAAAAGGAATGTTTTTTTTGAGATTAGCAATCATAAAATAGCACAAAAAAAAATCATAGGTTTAAGATGTGGTCACATTTACTGTTGCTCAGCGAAACTTTGCAGGTGAAAGAAAACGGTTGCAACGATATTGCATGCAATCTCAGTCTTGTAATTATAGTGTATAACAAAACTAAAGATTTTTTTTCAAAGATTGACAGACAATAAAATGGCAAAAGGTATGGTCACATTTACTCTCGCTTAGTGAAACTTTGCAAGCGAAAGAAAGCTGTTCTTTTTGCAATCTCAGCAAAATATCCTGCTTCTTATTGGAGACAAAATGATTTATATAGTTAATAAAAATTACTGTAGACATAATGCATGTAAATAAAACTAAAATAAAAAAATGATTTTTTTTCAAAGAATGGTGGACAACAAAATTGCAAAAATGTGTGGTCACATGAAATTTCACAAGTGAAAGAATTCTGTTGCAGTGGTTGCAGTCATTTTGTATGTCTTCAGAGACAAAATGATGATTTATATAGTTAATAAAAAAATTATGCAAACACAATGCATGTAAACAAAACTAAGTAACATAAATAAATAAAGATGGGCAGACAATAAAATGGCAAAAAACAAAAAATCTATATTCATAGAAATAACGTGTGGTCATAATTACTGTTGCTCAGCTAAACTTTTTTTTTAAGTGAAAGAAAGCGCGACCGGATGGGATGAAATGAATGATAATAACAAATCAAACATCCAAAGCTAGTCTGCTGGATAGCAAACAAATCAACTCTAAATAAATGTTTTATTTAAAAATAATTGCAGAAAACAAAGCTGTATTTAAAGTAAACAAAACTCGATTATTTTTATTTTTATTGGTTATTGGTCATTCATTATTGGTGAACAATGAAATGGCAAAACATTTACTTACTCACCAATATTTTAATGATCATAAAAGATGAAAATCACTGTCTGGCCATCTGAGATTTTGGTATGGAGATAAGGGTTAAGATCATGATTTTTCTTTTTTCTTTAGTGGTACAGCACACCGTGAGTGTATATTAGCACCATTTGTTGTTTGTTTTGGCATCTGAACATTTGCATAAATCGTCACTGGAATTGTTGTATTTTTTCTCACAAAATTTCATAGAGAAACAGTAAATGTGACCACACTTTTACATTGATCCATATGTAAAGCCTAGCAGTCGGTTGCAGGATTAAAACCCTTACACTTGATAACTGAGGGGTTTGTTTACTGAAGGGGTTTCTTGTTACAAGACATATCATGAAGACTTAAGAAACCACCCAGAACACCCTAGCATCATCGGCAAGTTTTGCACGTGCAAAGAGCACTCCGAAAAATGCAAGAATCTGTGCGAGTTCTGCGATTTATTGCCGTTTTGTGCTACAGAAGAAGCATTCATCAGATGTCCCTGGACAAGAGTTGACCTCCTCTTCTATTTCTGTCACAAAGATCTCTCTCTGAACTGGAAACAAGAAAAATGTTCCAAGAATCGGCTTAAAGGCCATAATTTGAGGCCTAGGCAGGCGTTTTGCAGTAATTGTGTTGCTGTTGCACCAGTACAGTACTTCATATTCATGTGCAGCAGTGGAAAATAGCATGATGCCCACTTCAGGTTCAGGTTCTGATCTTGATATTCTTCCGCAGTACAGTGAAGTTATATATCGCTCTGGTGGTTCAATATGACTCGTAGTGCTGTTTCAGATGGTCCAAAGCAAACAGCATCCTCCTGTGTGATGTGTTTGTTAGCGATCCAGGGGTTGGCTGTATTCTCTGCAGGATTACAGCTGGATCAGGTTGCTGGAGTCTCATGGCACAAAATTGTGTACGTAAGCAGATTGTGGAATTAGGTGCACTCAACACATGTCTGGAACCTGTTCTGGAACCAGTAATTTACTTCACTCTATTTTGTTCTGCTTGTTTAGGCCCAGCAGTCAAGCTCGCCCAATCAAAATATCTGTTTGTGCTCAAACACCTGGTGTAATCTAATTTGTGGCATTTTAAGGCAAAAGTGTAGCCTGAAGTCAGAGAGACGCTCCTTCACAAGCCGTTATTGTCTTATAAAGCAGTGCCTCATCTCTATGAGCCAGAGGAAATGCAGTTTGTGTGGACCCGTAGATGCATCACATAAACACAAATAATGCGCTAGCGTCAGCCGTTTGTGTTCTCTGTGCATCGTGCAATTCATAACACATTTCTGTTACCAAAAGTTGTTCTTGTCAACACTTTGGGGTGAGTTCACTAAACAGTTACAATGACTTTGCATGCAATCTTTCAGTGTAAAAAAAAAAAAACAGTGCAAAAGACAAAGCTGTATTTAATTAAAAAAAGAACCCCGATGCATGTAAATGAAATACAAATTTTTTCTGCAAAAAAATTCTTGGTAGCAATTCTTTTGCAACACATCTGGCTCAAATTTTTCTTTATTTGTCAGTAAGTCAAAAAGATTATTCATATATTTAAAAATACTGCAAAAGGCTAAACTAAATATAATTGCAAAATACATGTGCATGAAACTTTTTTTCTGCAATGTTTTTTTTTTTTTGGCAATACTTTTTCAAAGGAATAGTGCACCCAAAACAAAAATTTGCTTAGAATGTACTCACCCTCAGGCCATCCAAGATGTAGATGAGTTCATTTCGTCATCAGATTTGGTGAAATGTAGCATTGCATCACTTCCTAACCAATGGATCCTCTGCAGTGAATGGGTGCCGTCAGAATGAGTGTCCAAACAGCTGATAAAAACATCACAATAATCCACAAGTAATCCACACCACTCCAGTCCATCAGTTAGCATCCTGTGAAGCCAAAAGCTGTGTGTTTGTAAGAAACAAATCCATCAATAAGCCGTTTTAGACTTCAAACCATTGTTTCTGGTCAAAATACTAGTCCATAATCCATAATAACACTTCCTCCAGTGAAAAAATCCATCTCCTGTTTTCCTCTCACATCAAAATACACCCACATATTTGTTTATGGCTGTATTTGCCTGTAAACACTGCTTGGTCTGTGTTTATTTCTCTCCTGGTTATTGATCACGGACTCATAATTTAGCCAGAAGCAACGATTTGATGTTGGATTTGTTCCTTACAAACACAAAGCATTTCACTTCGTAAGATGTTAACTGAGGGACTGGAGTGATGTGGATTACTTGTGGATGTTTTTATCAGCTGTTTGGATTCTGACGGCACCCATTCACTGCAGAGGATCCATTGGTGAACAAGTGATGCAATGCTACATTTCACCAAATCTGATGAAGAACCAAACTCATCTACATCTTGGATGGCCTGAGGGAGAATACATTCAAAGCAAATTTTTATTTTTGGGTGAACTATTCCTTGGAGGAAGTACAGCTTTATCTTCTGCAGTACTTTATTTAATTGCAACTATATGCATCATCTTTTGGACTACATGGCAATCCAGGTTAACCAGGCACTAAATGTGCTAAAATAAGAATAAGCTGTATCTAAATTAAGCCATTTTTATTCTTTCCCATGCAAACACGCCTCCTTTCTATGTAAATGAGACTCATTATTGATTGCACCTTATTCATAAAGCAGGTGCTTTTGTGGAGTGATGCTATGCATTCACATTAAGTACGTTAGATCGTGATGGTGTGCTGCATCCTGCACTCTTTAGTACTCAAAATTGGCTTTTGCACCATGCACATCGCATTTACCACAGGTCTTTTGTGTATATTTGCGCTGTTCAATTTGCATAATTTCTTTAGCGAACGGTGCTAAAACAACACATGCACCACGTGCAAATAAATGGTGCTATCATCAGCGGGTGCAATTCATTTTAGTCAATTCCCCCCTTTGTATCTCTGGAATGGAAATGCATGGATCGGTGACCCACCTCAGCCGTTATCAGAAAACTAATCGAGCCGGTGTATTGTTTGCATTAATAAAGCCTGTGAATAAAGAAGGGCACCGTGACCCAGTTGAGTACATGATCACGCAGGGCCAGAAACCTCCCGATAAATCACGCCACATCATACCGAACGCAGCATCACACCCGACCGCTTCTCTCCCTTTCCCAATGTTTGCGGCGAGCTGGGCGTTTGTTTGTCAAAATGCCACTCGGTAATGAATATTAATGTGCGTAGATGTCAGAGAGATGAATTGTGGGGGCGGCTGAAAGCTGCATTATCTAGAGTTTATTTGCCGCATGTAATGAGTAGCAGAAGCTCAGACACTAATAGGGCGGCTTCAGAGAGCAGATAGCAGCGCGCGAGATAGTCTGCTCTTTTGGAGTGGCTGTTTAATGTGTTTAATTCAAGGTTTTCTTTTTTTCTCTTATAAATGAAATAACAGTCATTTGTCAGGGCTGAGAAGTGAATAATGTGTGGGAAGAGTATATGTATGCATTTGACTACATACTTTGGAGGTATTTGTCATCTTCCACCTCGATGTCACTGCATTCAAAGTGAATTTCTTAGCTTGCGGCTTATCTGTAAAGGTCATACTAAACTTTGCCTTTGCAAAAAATGTATGCAATATATGCATACTCTATGGCAGGGATACTCATATGTTGCTGACGGTGCAATGTTTTTTTTTTTTGGCAATACTTTTTCAAAGGAATAGTGCACCCAAAACAAAAATTTGCTTAGAATGTACTCACCCTCAGGCCATCCAAGATGTAGATGAGTTCATTTCGTCATCAGATTTGGTGAAATGTAGCATTGCATCACTTCCTAACCAATGGATCCTCTGCAGTGAATGGGTGCCGTCAGAATGAGTGTCCAAACAGCTGATAAAAACATCACAATAATCCACAAGTAATCCACACCACTCCAGTCCATCAGTTAGCATCCTGTGAAGCCA